AATTTCTACACCTGCCATATTAACAGATGTGATTTTGTGGAATGGTGTTTAGGAGCCTAGGGATAACCAAACTACCTCAGGATAGCTTAGTCTTATATGATCCACACACAAGGCACAGGCATGTGGTAAAATCAGCATTGGGTAAATAACAAAAAACTTTTCTTTAAAAACCATAAACACACTTGGAGCATTAATTAAATAAGTTAAGATTTAATGACACACTTTCATGTTTCTCCTTGCTGTCTTTCAGTCTGTACCCACAGTTCTGTCTGTTAAGGACATTATCCGACTGTTAGCAACTGTTAGATGCATGTTACCAGATATATAAATGAACAGCTAGGATGAAAATAGAATCTATAGCGATCATTTAAGTTCAGTTAATTGTAATAGCTAAAAAGCAGTGTATGGTTTGTTTCTGTCAAGCTAATTTCACATTTCATGTAATACGCCATACAATTCCCCTGTTCCACTTAGCTCAGTTAGAATTTATATCTCAATTCATGTATGTCTCATTGGCTGCTCTCCTGTACACAGCTATACTGCTTAAATCCCTCTTAAGTCAATGTGAATCAACCAGCCTAACTGTACACTGGGTTGCCGTTTTCACCTTTATAATATTAAGCTGTTAAGGCTTACCCTATGTGCAAAAGAGCCCATAGCATATAGCAAGCACTTTATTTTCCTTAAAAAACACATTTCAGAAGAGTCTACATTTGTTTCACCAAGTCTTATATCTCTTTCTTAGCTTAACTGTTCTCTTGATGGATTGTGTGCCTTATTGTTCTCGTTTGCATGTAACATTAAGCGATAGTTAATGCTTAGTTAATAAACCATCATTAAAACCAAGGTATCTCACATACAGTCACTCAAACCATGGTTTGTATATCACAGAACAGTTTCTTTTTCCTCCACTGTTGAATTTTAACCTGTTCTACACTAGTAGCTTTGGAGCAGTGACAGATCCTTAACCATAGTTAAGGAGAGAGGTCCAAGTTCACACATAATACTAAGCTATGGTTAACGTTAAGAAAAGTTTATGAACTGTGGCTTAATGTTAGATGATCAACTTTAACTTTAGTTAAATAAACCATGGCTTATAAGCTGTGGCTTATTGTAATGTGTGAACAAGGTCAGCATATAGAAGGTTTCATAATATCCTAGTACCAGTAGAATGTGAGAGTTTTAAAGTTCATGTATAAGAACTTAAAAATATGTACACAAGGAAATGATTAATCCAATTTGCATTATAAAGCAAATAACCTACTGTGATAGACTGTTACATCTGATGATGCATAAACATTAAAATGACTTTGCCAGATACAGGAAGCTTTAATTATGCTTGTGTAGATTCATGCAGATCAGCTTTTTCTTATCTATAGTGTTTATCTTTGTTTAAAAAACTACTTATCTGTTTCTTAGTTAAGAACAGTTTGGCCCATCATTAAGTATAACCACAGCACAGAAGACTGATTTGTACAACTCTGTAGGTCTCTTTCCATCCCTTCTGCTTTACCAATTTCATAGCAATATAATGTACATTCTTAATCTAACACCATGTTTTTCAGGACTAAATTTGAATTAGATTATATGTAAATGTCTCTATCTGTCCTGATCATCTGTGCTGGATCGAAACTTCATTACATCAAAGTAAGCTATGTCATATCAGTACATGCTACACTGCCTATGAATTTGACAACATTTTTCCTAAAATGTGATTGCTCATCTGCCTTAAGCCATTAGTAGAGTAACTGCAATGTCTTAATATTGTGATCTGAGCTATGCAAAACTATTGAAAATAATTTAAGCCCCTATAGCTAGAACAAACCCTTATTTGACCTACTTGTACTATTTATATGGTGGAGCATATGGCATCTCTACTTCCATTCATAATAATAGTACAAGAAGAGCTGCAGCATTTAATCCTATTTTTTATGCTCAAGTTATGATTGCTTTCCTGAATAGTTGCATTTTCAGTCCAGAAATATTAAAAATTTCTCTAACTCTTATCTCCCCAGCAACACAAGTCACAGGAGAGCCATGTGTATCTCCTCATAACTGTAATACTTTTCTTCCCTTTTAATTAGGTGGTGGTGGTGGTGTGTTATGTTTAGTTGCCAGTGTGTTGTGTTTAGGAAGTATAAAACCAGAAACTATCAGGCTTATACTCTGGCTTATACTTCCTTAAGTGAAGCTTATTCTATCATTCATTGAGAGCCAGTGTGGTGTAGTGGTTAAGAGCGGTAGTCTCGTAATCTGGGAAACCGGGTTCGCGTCTCCGCTCCTCCACATGCAGCTGCTGGGTGACCTTGGGCTAGTCACACTTCCTTGAAGTCTCTCAGCCCCACTCACCTCACAGAGTGTTTGTTGTGGGGGAGGAAGGGAATGGAGAATGTTAGCCGCTTTGAGACTCCTTAAAGGGAGTGAAAGGCGGGATATCAAATCCAAACTCTTCTTCTTCTTCTTCATGTTATGCAATCAGTTGATAAAAGATGGGCAGAATTTAGAGACCAGCCGAATATGTGAGCCCTCTTACAGTCAATTAGGTATTTGCTACAGCTGTAAGCTAAGATTTCAAATATTGATTAAACCGCTTAATCAGGAGGGAGACCATCAGCCATCATCACTTTGCTGTTTGGTAGAAAGCTCTGTCTCTTGAATTTTTGCTTGCTATGCAGCTGTTAAAAACACAGAAATCAAAGAGACAGGTCAATTCTGTCTTTACACAGGTAAACTCTGTTCCTGCTTTGTGCACTGAAAAACTTGGAGTTCTTGGTTGCTGAAATCATTGCCGAGACCATCTTTTTTGCAACTCCAAAAATGCTTATAAAATTCAAAGTTCTTAAGAAACATCCCTTTCCACACTTCATTTTGAAATACCATTTCTGCTACAGAAATTTAATGATTGATAGCCCACTTTATTTACAATACAACCAGAAGAATTCCAATCTGGGACATTGTAGGAGCAAAGAAATGGACACTTCCTCCCTACTCTTTGGAAGTGAATTGGTAGGGTGTGAGCTGAAATGTTCAAGAATCAGTTGCAAGGCAATAAACAGAACTGATTTGCTAATGAGTGAACTTTTGGTATAATAGCAGACTGTACTCACTTTGAAATGAGACACCAGTTCTCAAACTTGTTTTTATAGTAGTGCCAAACTCCTGATCAAACCAAACGTGTTTGATTTACAAATGAAACAGTCATCTAGAACCAACTTGCTGAGACAGTCATACGCAAGCAGTGGGATGGGGGCAAATAATAATAATGATTGTTTCCTGCTGACAAAATCAATTGATTCTTCTTTTAAAACTACAAAGAGAGAGATAGAGATTTGCTGATCAATTCCATTGCAAGACCATGGCCTTTCTCAGAAAAGTGTGGACAATTTCTAAATTCATTGCATTATTAGACCACAAGCAATGCAAACACTTAATAATATATTTTCAATACCAAATACTTTATAACACTACAGGTATGGAATGTATGAACACAAAGCCATTGATCCGTATGTATGAATTCTATATTTTATGCCACTGGTGCATTTAAAATTGCATCAGAAATTCAGTTGTTTACCAAAGTATATATAGAGTTCTCACATTTTGAAAATTGACTTAGTTATCCAGTTGTCAGCTGAAGCAAAGCAGTCAATATTCACATCAAATGAATATCAGACCTGAGAGCAGAAAGTCAAATACAGTGGTACCTCGGGTTAAGAACTTAATTCGTTCTGGAGGTCTGTTCTTAACCTGAAACTGTTCTTAACCTGAAGCACCACTTTAGATAATGGGGCCTCCTGCTGCTGCCGCTGCGCCGCAGCCGCACGATTTCTGTTCTCATCCTGAAGCAAAGTTCTTAACCCGAGGTAATATTTCTGGGTTAGCAGAGTGTAACCTGAAGCGTATGTAACCTGAAGCGTATGTAACCCAAGGTACCACTGTATCTCATCTACAGCTCAAACACTGGCAGAAAACCACACATGCAACAATCACACCTCCAGACATTTTAGGCCACAACCCCCAGTCATTCCCCACCATGGGATATAATGGGCAGAGGCTGGTGGAAGTTGAAGTCCAAACAAACTTGGAGGGCATCAGGTTGGGGAAGACGTAAGCTGAGAAGAAAAAGAACATGTACCATTCTCAGCTTCATAAAGTGATATTTTTCATCAGGTTTGTTTTAGCTTTAAAAAAAGTCAAAAAGGTATTTGGGAACATGAAGACTTGTTTAATTTTTTCTTTTGAGACATGGCTAGAATCCTATACCAAGTACCTGGGAGTAAGTCCTATCCAACTCAGTTGGACTTACTTCTCATCCAGACATGTATAGAATTTCTCTATTTATTCCAGGAAAAGATGGCAAAGCTCTGTTCTGTGAGTAGAACTCCACTCACGAGTCTCATAGGTTGAAGAGCATTAACTTAGTGGTGGGGCCCCTGCAGAAAGTCTCTGGTTCAATCCATGGCATTTCCAGGTAGAGCTAAAACATTGTGCTTGATGAAGCACAGGAGAGTCATTGCTAGTCATTGAAGACCTGTAGTCCCTGACATCAGACAACCCTCCTAACATGCTGTGTGGGTAGGGAGAAAAGGAGAAAGAGTGTGTTTTGGTTTGGGACGATTTACCTGTTGGTGGGGGGGGGTTGCTTTCATTTGTGTACATGTGTGTCTTTTATTTTGTGTTGGTGTATGTGTAGGTGTTTTGCCCATTTTGGAGAGGATTTTGAGCATCATCAGCTGGGTATTCTGTAGTGCCCATGACAGCATGTTAGATTTCCAAATGTGTCCATGGGCCCAACAAGTGTGGGTCTCCTGGTGCAGGCAATATTGAGCCAATTGGAGCAATGGCCTAATAGAAGATAAATTCCTGTCTTCCTATGATCCAACCTTGTTTGTTTTATATCAGAGTTCTGATATTAGAAAATGTTGAGATACATTTGATCATGTCATTCACAGTTCTCACGTACGTTTTTCATTTTTGTTTCTAACAATTTTTTTATTTTTTAGGAAATAGCATATTACATTCGGCTGCAGACAGTGTAACCAGTGCAGTACAGAAGGCAAGTCAAGCTTTGAATGAGCGTGGTGAAAGGTTAGGTCGAGCAGAGGAAAAGACAGAGGATATGAAGAACAGTGCTCAGCAGTTTGCAGAAACTGCACACAAGGTATGAAATTAATAAAATACAGCTTAAGGAGAAGGACAAGAAATCCTTAATATGGTAATAACTTCTATGAGAAGCAGGTTGCTAGGAAACCCCTAATATTAATATGCAACATTGTTTTCACATATTGTTGTCATCTGTTTAATTTCATCAAAAGGTACCAAACCCTTGTTGATAAATGCTGGCAAAGGGGCACATTCTGACCTGGTAAGTTAGCGCTGGCATTTGTTTGTTTGAAAAATATGCAGCCCACACTTCTAGTGCCTGCATATTGAGGTGGGGCAGGGGTGTTTTACAACAATTAAGTAAATCAAATAAAGCACAACATTTCATAAAATGATGTAATACAACAGAGATGGGTTCAACAGATACAAAAATATCAGATAAAAAAATTATATACCCCAATAAAACATATGTTTGCTGGAATACAAAAAGTTTTTACACTCTCTTGGAAGATTTTGAGGAAACCGAGAATATGTGTGAAGGCTAATGTTCTGCATTAACTAAATCTGAGGTAGGGTCTTCTCAGTAGTGGCACCCACCCTACGGGTGGTATCCAGCTAAGGCTGCAATCCTAACCATGACTATTTAATTCAATGTGGCTTACTCCCGGGTAAGTGGGGTTACCATGTCATACTCTGAATAGACCCAGAGAAGTCAATGCCAGTGAGATTTTTTATTGTAAATAACAAACACAAACAATCCAATTGTAAGTTAAAAAATACTAGTTTTCAGAGCTGCAGATTAACAAAACATACAATTATAAAGTTCCCCAAATATTTTAGATTTAAAAATCGCCATGACAGCCAACAGTTTTCATCTGACAAGCTTCTCACTTCTAGCATACCTCATAAATAACAAATTTATCTTTATCAGCCAGCAACCATCTAATTTTGAAATCACCTGTTTGACCTTCTAAAAAATTCTGGAATGAATAGAAGGATCTGCTCCTATGAAGGGCAATAAAGAACATAGTATCTCCATCTGACCTCATCCACTTACACAAAAATGGTCTTTTGTTGGCCTTTTAAAGAATGTACTGGTTAAATATTCTGTTGGCATGGTTTGAAAAGCTGAGCAGAGTAACACATATCTAACAAGGGGGGAAAAAGTTCCACAGATTGCAAGCAAAGTGTTGCATCAAACTATGCAGCAAGACCTGACAAAAAGGATATGAGGACTTGCATTTTCCATCTCCCGTTTTGCTTTGTGATACAGTCAGGACCAGGAGAGGAATGTTGCCACCAGCAGTGCAAAATACATCCTTTGGATTGCATTGTAGCATTTTCCCTATTATACATTTACACTTAAGTCTTGTGCTGCCCTTGGTATTACTGTGGCTATTCTATACATCTTCCATCTTAAAAAGGAGCTTATATTTCTAACTGTGCCTACAAATGCTCTTACTTTTTACCCGTAGAAGATGGGTGCTCACTTCACCTCAGAGTATGCATGTTTTTATGTTTAAGTTAATTTCGAACTGCTCCCATCACCCCCAGACACCACGTTGGTGAAGGCTGAAAGCCTTCTCTTAGAATATGATTAAAACAAAAGTGGCTATCTTGGTCTTTGAATCTTTATCTGTCTGGCTATGACTCGGCAACTTCCACTAACAATTACTAGCAGAGGACTATCTGGACTATACATACACATACGCTTCTGTAAATGGAGTTGGAAGCAAATATAGACCATCCCTGACTACCCCAACAGCTTGTCTTCCCAGACCTTTGTTGCACTGCATCCATTCAGCCCAAGCACCCCCTGTCCTTGGGGCAAGTCTCTTTTCAAACAAGCCTGATCTGTTCACCTTGCCTGCGATCTAGACTAGCAACCTCTGTCTTTTCCCACAAAATTGGCTTCTTTGCTAAGCCTTCTGCTTTCCCTTAATCGCTCTTCATAGTGTTCTCAAGACTTGGTATCTCCTGTATTCACAGCCTTTCTCTCACACTCCTCTATTATTATATGCTACAAGGACTGACCACCACCTTTTTGTTTCATAATAAATATGGAATTGTAGGACGTGTATGTGATGCAACTTTCAAGAACTCTAGACAACCTGGAACATGACTCTTCTTCCTTTTCTTTAAAAATATATATATGAATATTTCAAGCATCGTATCACACCCCTAGAAACTACAGGAAAATCTTGAAACTTATTCCTTTAATCCTCATTTATTTATCTTGCATTTATGTTTTTCTGCAACATTCGGAACTGAATACTAATGAGCAGTACTGAATTCCTGTGTTGCTTTCTCCCACTTTTGAAAGTAGTGAAACAAACTAATTAATCTGGTTTGTGTTTACTTTTAAACTCTTTGAAGTGACTTCACAGAGTCATTGTTACAAAGTCAATTATTTATACAAGTTGCTGGTTTATGTGCTTTGTTCCCCAATACTAATCTGTGCCGTGCCTGAAATGTAAAATAATCCTGCACTGGCAAAAATCCTAATGATGACGTCTATTAATGTAAAAAAGAAAAAGAAAGCAAGCAAGAAAGAAAAAGATTTAAGTAAATATCTGTGCCATTCAGCATCTTCATTTTTAAGGAACATTTCAGAATCAAGTCAAGGATCTCACTTAAAAGATGTAGCACAAATGCTGTGACAGTTCGTCAGCTCCTGATATCACTATTAAAATGTTGTGATTAGATGGCTGAGGTGGTGTCCAGGAAGTGGCTACATGTCAAGTTAATTTCTGTATTAAGTGGATAAGATGTGGGGAGAGATGCTTGCTAGCACATCACATGAAAAGGCTTTTCTGTGTGTATCCCAAAATAACCAGATATAAGTGCCAATATGAGAGCTGATATTGAAAGATGCAGCTGTGTTCTTGTTACCTACTTCAAAATGTCTTGAGTATTGGGGGGGGAATCATTTATTGAAACCCAAGAGATTTGTTACCCGTCAGTGTTGCCAACAATAAACTAGATGGACTGGTTCTCTGTTAGCTTCCTATGACACAGATTTGTTCAGTATTCATAAGGATAACTCAAGAGGTCTGCACTGGTTACCAATTTGCTACTGGGCCAAGTTCAAGGTATTACTATCAGCATATAAAGCCCTTGACAACTTGGGACCAGCCTTACCTGACATGCATCCATTCAACCGCTTCAGTCGGTGGAATTGGCACTATTACAGGTGCCATATAAGACCTGTACCTAATTTGTAAGAAGTCAATCGTTTCATGTGGCAGAGGCTACACTTTGGAACTCCCTGTCTACTGAGATCGAGCAGCTGAATTCACTGACCTCTTTTTGGCAGCCGCTAAAAATATTTTCTTTAGACAAGCCTACCCAGATGCTTTGAAAGTTAAGGTGATTTTAATCTGATTTAGTCCCAACCGACTCCAGCTACAAAAGGTGAGACAGCTGAACAGACTCTTGGGCTGGGGTACTGGTTAGGGTTTTTCATTGGGGCAGGGTTTTGGCTGATATATATATATATGGTCAACTTAAGGTGTTCATATTTAAGAACACCCCCCTAGCTTATGCAAACTATATGCTCTATATAGAGGATCATAATCAAGAGTCTCTGTGTGTTTCCACCTCCCTTGTAGATGGGTCTTAATTCCTTACATTTTAGTATAAATCAAGCCGCACTTTGTTGTGACATCAGGTCCCCTGAACACTGGTTTGAGCTATCCCTCCAAACTAAGATTGTAAACCATGGTTTGATTCTGCTTTGGAGGGATCACTCAAGCTACCGTTAGTTCTGTATTTGCAATGAGGAGGGGAGGGGTTTGATATGCTTATATTTCCTTTCAAAGCTTTCTTTAGAAGTTAGATAATCTCATTAACATTGCATGTGATATTTGTAATTTAGTCTAAATAAAGTAATTTTATGGTATTTCTTTTTATCTTGGTTGGATTTCAGCATCTTCACCTTGAAGTGAGTGAAAACAACTAAGTATCTTCCTTCTGTATTGATTATATGGTCTGTGAATGTAGCAAGCAATATAAACTCAACAGGAGAAAGTTTTATTGGGATTTGCACCCAATATATACATGCTTCCATTTTGTCTGCAGCACAGGAACTAAGCCTAGTTCATAAATGTCCAGCCATAATTGTAAATAAGTCTTAATGCATCTCTCACTCTCTCTCACGTTTTCCCTCCAGCTTGCCATGAAGCACAAGTGCTGAAAATGCCTACTATAAAGATATTTCCAAGAGGAACTGAAAAGCTAGATTCATCATTTTTTTACTGGATATACAACCACATCTCTGCTTTTTTCTACAGTTCATTGAAGCCCAGTTATTCCAGTTACTATGTAGGAAATAAGTTGTATTCCTATCTTTTTGTATTGCTAAGCCATTCTGCACTTTTACCATATATATTTTTTATTATTTAAAATAAGAGATGGTGTTAACATGGAAATTGGACCAAAGGACATACTGAACTGCATTGATCTTCAACATTGCACTTTTCCCAGTATTAAGAAAGAAGAAATAAAACTGCCTACGGGGAAGATTACCAAACGAAAATAAAATCCAAGGAATTTGGTTTACAATTATCTCTTTGAACAATTTTTAGAGCTACATAGTTTATGCCTTCGATCACTGAGCAAAACGAAATGAATTATTTGCTATGAAAAAGCAGCCTTCTCATTTCTGCCAGTATTAATACTCATATTTTGCATTGCCATCATCAGCACCACAGTGCAAATCTGGATTCGAGAGGTCAACTTGTGGTCAACACTACATTTTCAAAATAACTTCTTCTTTTTTACTCTTCTGATTTATTCCTTGGACTGTATAATACCACCGAGAATTCACACTTGAGATGTTAAGGCTAAGGAAACTCTGATGATTAAATTTCCGAATGTCTCTACATTTAGTCTGGAATTTAGCAGTCAAATTATAAAACAGAATTTTCCCTTTGTAGATGAGATTTTTAAGAGAGAGAGAGAGAGAGAGAGAGAGAGAGAGAGAGAGAACATTCCAAATCCACATTATACCGGAATCATTCCAGCATTTTAATGTGTCCAAGAACACTTACTACACTTGCTGAAGCTGCAGTCTGCTTAATGTTAAGCATGCTTCAATTTTAGTGCTTTGAGTAACTTTGGTACATTTATTCCCAACACTGCAGCCTCGCCATCCTTGGCTAGGAGAAGCTAAGGTTGAACTGCCCTTGCAATGAGTGGTTCCCAAGGAGACTCATAATTTTAGAGTAACTAAAATTAACCTTGCATTATGTGGAATACTCACTTGCACACACACAAATTTCGTTGGTTTTGAAGCTTTTGCCATTTGATCTAACAACATGCACAAAAGCCTCTTGGTTGAGTTTGGGAACTGGAGCTATGCATGGAGTTCTTGGCACTAGAGCTCAGCATCCAGTACTTAGGGTTCGCAGTTACTCAGTTAGCTTGCAACACTTGATCTATAAGCACATCCATTGCACATGAAGTCAGTTCTGTCTGCTTTGTCAACATCAGTACCAGACCATTCTTACCTAACTTGCCTTCAAGAGATGATTGAGTCGTGTGGATCCAACCACACCCTTTCCTCTGATAGCACTGAATATTTGCTAGGCATAGGAAGATGTGTGCGCAGAAAATGTGAGGGTCTTTCCATGACTCTCCAGAACAACCCTGCCTCCTCCATAAGTTACAGCAAATGTTTCAGGATTTCTGATATATTTTGCATTTTCTTCTCTGATTTTCCTCCCTGCTTTGAATTTTTCGATCCAAAGTGATATGTGAGCAGAATTTCATGTTATTTCACTGCTATCGCATTATTCATGCCGATTGGAACACACCTAATGGTTTTCAAGTAAGGCAGCCCAAGAGATGAGGAAAACGGTTTGTAGATATTGGAGAGCGAAATTTCTGCATTTTTATTTTATTTTTGTTTTCACAGACACCAGCAAAACAAAAGAAGCAGCTTTTAATGCAGATGAACCTTTAAATCAACACAGAGAGAACATCCATTTAATTAGACTTAACTGCCCATTAGATTTGTTTGAAATTGTAAGAGAAAAGTGGCTTTGTGGACCCCGCACCCCTTAGGAGTTACAACAGCACAAGCCTGCCAGTTAGACATGTTCCAAATCAGAATAAGGTGGTTAAATGTAATGCCTTCACTTTTCATCCAAGGTGCATTTTGAACCATTGGCTCCACCTCACACACCTACTGCTCAGGAATTAAATGCGACAGCGAAATATCCAGTAGAACTTTGCCCTTTGGAATTAGACTAAAGTATACAGCATTTTCCAAAGCAATTTTGTTACCAGTTTTTCATTACTGTTTTTAATAGACTTGGACGAGGCAGGAGTGTCAGGATTTAAAAAATAATAATAAGTAATGAGAAATACAAGCTAAAATACAGTTGCAATGTCAGTTTTGCCTGAGTTACTGGATGAAACTGGAGATCGTCACAAAGGCAGCCTGTGGTACCCTTCACACACAGCAATGTGGGTACCACATTTCTGTAATGCTGCCCCATGCAATGGGCTATGCGTGAATAGTGCCATCGTAGGGATCTTTCCCATGCGATCTTTCCCACACAACACCAAGTACCCTGGACAAGTAGTCACATCATTCATAGGCAGTTCCAGCTCTCTAAACTGCATCATGCAAAGCCAGCACCAATGTGGCCATAGCTGAAAAGGACTTCAGTTGGAGATTAGATGAATTTACAATGAACATGAATGAAGTGTTAGGTAACACAGTGTGAATGAGGATGCTATTTGCAGTTGGCCATATCTGATCGGAGGACTCCTGCTAAATTCCAGATTTTCCATTGCTTGTACTGTGAACCATTATTCTGTATGTTATATTTATTTTGCACATTTTTTGCATTTCAGATCAATGATAATTTTGGCTTCTTGTCAAATTAGGGCTTGTTTTCAAACTGCCAAGCAACCCCTGGTGATTTTATCACTTTGATGTATCAAAAATTAGATCTTAATTTGTATTTCTGCTATTGAGTAAATTTAAATTTCATGGTGGCTTTTTTTTTTTTAGGATAATTAGAAGCAAATGTGCTGACATCTAGTACTGAAGGTAAACATTATAGTGTTAAAAACGTCCTCCTGAGAATAGTGGTAGTATACAATTCTAGTATTAGATATTTGAGTACACAAAGTATACCGTAATTCAGGTTAATGTTTCATATTCAAGAATGTATTTGTAAAAAGTAACAAGAACCATAGTTTCTTTATCAACTTTTTAAAAGTTCTGCGAAGAATAAAAATCATGTGTTACTGGACTTCAAACTGTTATATCAGTGAGATCAGTCTTAACAGCCTATTTTTGTGGCTAGCAAAATGTGCATTAATGTGAAAATGTTAACAGAACTTGCTCACTAAATAAGTGATCTTAAGTTTGTTGTGCTTTAACATGCCAAAATTGTAAATTCTTGTTGATATGATATTCTTTCTAGGGATATAAAAAAAACACACCACACCATTCTACAATAAATAGGTTCTTTTCTAATCCTGGTTTTTGTCATTCAATAAAATATGCTGTTCTTCCAGATTATTTGGTGAGAGAAGGCATGACTGTAAATTTAACCTTGTAGAAGGATTTTTGTTATTATTCCATACCTCCTCTTTTGCTTTTAATCCTTTTAGATGACACTTAAGGGCGCTTCCAGTAGACCTGCATTTTGAGCATTCATCCTGATTTGTTTGCAGGCAGATTAGACTTGGTTAGCTGTTTTACTGAGCATTCACCTTTGTTTATGAGGAGGCTAGATGATGTAGCATCCCACACTTTCTGCTACTTTTTCCTTTCGCTCCTTTTTGCTAAAAAAAAGAAGAAAATTATCTTTTGGGAAGCGGGTTTGATGTGCAATATCTCTAAATCAACTTTAATTGTGCAACTGGAATTTGCTGGTATGTGGACGACTATCACCCCAAAATAGTGACTGTCTGAAGGTGCCCCAAGTCTAAAGAGCTCTGTGGGAAGCACAATTTGAACTGGGAGCTCAGCGGCGCCTCCCTTCACCCCTCGGCCACACCAGCAAGGGCTTATTTACACAACTACTTTATGGTGGTTACTGGAACACTTAGCCATGTTCCCCCCACCCCTTATTTCCTCCTTTTGTTGCTGGCAGAAGTGCCTAATAAAATATTACATACTAGAGATCCATAAGGAATCAGCCATTCAAAATAAAGATTTCATGGCTCATACTTGTTGTATATATGCCTTAACTAAATGATTTACACAAAGTTGGCCACTGATTTTCATATGTATTCCAGACAGATAAGATTGCCTGCAAAGAATGTGACACTTGTTTGTGGCCTGAAATGTGTGCAGAAGCTGATCGCTGAAGACCGTCATCTTTTGCATCACATCATTCAGAATTGTTTTGGCTTCTTGTCACACCTGTACTGTAAATATTCACATTACTAAAAGGTATATTTACCAATGTGCTACATGCACAATACGAAGTGCTACTGGACCGATCCATCCTCTTGAAGAATAAAAAGCACCATGGCTCTAAATGGTTACGGTGCTCAAATACATTGCTGAATGTTGTGAATGCAAGTTGCAGTTTGTCCCTTCAATAAATAGCTACTTCTCTCTTCGTCAGGGCATAGGAATGTCTAGGCCCTTGGAATGAGATGTTGGCCTTGTACAAAACTATAATCTTGCAAAATAGAATTCATTGTATGTATTCTGTGTGTGATTCACATAACTGTAAAATGACAATTTTGTTTTCATAATAAAAGTTTTAATAAGTATATGAACGATGACTTTTTGCTTTTATATTTTGGGACGTCCCAGCTATTACAAAAGTATTGTGAAAATGCTGGCTTTTGCTGTATGCCTAGGAATAGAGGGTAGAATCCAGCTGCTGCTTGTCTGCCGGAAAGCAGCCATCAGCTGACTGGAGAAATGGGAGCAGTTTTTGGCTATTCCTCTCCCACATCCTCCACCCTACCGCTTCTCAAAATCTCTAAAGAACTGGGGGACCCTCTTGAACAGATTTTGGGTGCATGGGGAGCTGTGGCCAGGGGAGGAATTGCTGGAAATGGCCACAGTGGTGGGGAAACTTCTGGAGGTGGAGAAGGTTTGGGCGCTGCTTCCCGGTTTCCCACAGGCGTCCAGTTGGCTGCTGTGAGAACAGCATGCTGGAGACTGGATGGGCCATTGGCCCAATCAAGCAGGTTCTTATGTAGGTGCACAGGTAAGCAGACCTGAGCAGGCAGGTAGTGCTAGATTCATAGGAACGTAAGTTCTACAGCAGCAGCGTCTGCGTTGCAGCTCGTGACTCTCCCACTGGCTTCGTACAAACTTTTCCCAGGCTTTCTTGCCCTTGTGCCTTACAGACCTGGAAAAGCAGCTTCAAGGCCCCCTTTCACCATGGAATGTGAAGGAGGAGGGGCTTCACTGATTGCCCATTAGCATTCATTGTGACCGAGCCCACCCCAAAGCTCAAAGGAAGGCTTTTGGAGAATAGGCCAGCAGCGGGGCTCCGAAGGTATTTATTAGGAAGCACTTTAAATGTGCTGCATTTCCATTCCATTCCCTTCTGTTTCTCCTTTTTGAATAACTGCCTGCAGCGAGCAGTTGTCAGCATTACCCCTTCTATTCACAGGTAATCACTTGGTTCAGAGTGGTTCTGGCCACCTGCTAGAATGGAGGCTGCATTTAAAAGAACCCCCTGTACCTGCTCATTTCCAAGGGTTGATTTTAATGGCTGTTATCGGAGTATCTCATTCTGAGGAAAAGGAGCAATGAAACGGCCAGCACTTTTTATTAGACTGAAATATATGTATCGAGGGGAACAGCTCCAAGCATAGAAACGCTCTATTTTTAGCATTGCTGCAAACTTCCATGATAGAAACTCAATGGGCAGAGAGGCATAGACTATTCAATATTGCTGTGCTTTTGTGGTCTCTAGAGATACACAGAGCAAGCTTGCTTTTTGCTGACTCCCAACCGTATCGTTGGCTGCTTTGTGATCTTGCTTGCTAATTCAGACACCTATTGATCGTGGGCCATATGGCAAGATGGAAGGGGACCAATGAAACTGATCCTGAACTAATTGAATACTGTTGTGTCTTATAAATATCTATCAGGTGTGTGTGCTGTACGTGTTTCTTCACCGTCTAGATGTGAGCTGCTTTTAATTGGATTGCAGAAAGAGCCACTCTGAGAAACATACAGAGCTGAGTGTGCCAAGAAACTAACTCTCCTGTGCTTGGTCTTCTTTCTCCCTAAGGTGGTGATCTATGGTGCGCTATGTTGAGCATTTTTCTTGCTATTGTTGCCTTGTTCCGGAGAGATGATTTGGGTTCTAGTCAGAAATACAGTCCTAACTAGAAAAGAGAAGCATAAGTACAGTAACACTAGACCCAGGACGCTTGTGTCCATGTATAAAATAGGTGCTAAAGTTAGCTTGCTAAGGCTGCAATCCTAACAGCTGCTTCCCAGCATGCTTTAAAAAAGCAGTGTGCCCCCCTGTGCATCTTCAGTCATGCTTAGCATGTTGGTTGAAGTGAACTGGAGGGAGGAAGATTGCTGTTCCAGCCTAGAGCTGGTGCAAATATTTGACCCAGGTCAGATTTACATCAGCAGTCATAAATTTGACACACATAGGACATCAGTGTTAATCTCATGATTCCTGCCCTTGCCTCCCCCCCCAAAAAAAACCACAAACAAACATGGGGCACCTTTGGGATTTTTTAGAAGACATTATTGTACTTCAAAAAATCCAGTATGTTAAAAAATGTGTTTCTTAGTACGGGATTAAAAATAGCATTGCATGCAACCCACTAACCTTATTTTAAGCATTTTTAAGCAAGGCTGTTTCAGTCACTACCTTCTGTTGGTGAGGAGTATTGTGTACGTTGAACACTGCACCTGTCAAATAATGGCAGTTACTGAAGGATCGATCCAGCCATTGTCTGGAAGTGTGTGTTTCTTTGTAGGCATCCAACTGCTGTCAGCTGTAATGGTGAAAAAGAAGGCAGTCAATTTTTATGGTGGCAGCCAGTCCCCACCCACAAGTTCAAGAAGTGCCTCAGAAGAGGGCTTTCTGAGGAACACAAAATGGAGGCCATTCCAGTTCTTGCCCCCAGAAACGATTTTACCTCATTTCCAGTATATCACAGAAACAAAGTTGCCAACTTTTTTGTAGGTGGATTTAGTTCATCTCTTGTTTCATAGATTGGGCTAAGAATGCCCTTTAGACATGTGGCACATACTCAGTATGGCTTATACAGGCACTGGCTTGTGGTTCTCTTTGAAAACCAATGTTTTCTCCTTTAGTCCAGGTGTGGGGGAACTTTGGCCTTCCAGATATTGCTTAACTACAGCTCCCATTAGCCCCAGCAAGTGTGGCCAATAACCAAAGATGACGTATAAGTATAAGCTTTTGTGTGGACACAAAGCTTATACCCAGAACAAACTTAGTTGGTCTCTAAGGTGCTACTGGACAATTTTTTAATTTTTTTATTTATTTCGACTGCGGCAGACCAACACAGCCTACCTACCTGAATCTACAAAGATGACAGGAATTGTAGTTCAGCAACACAAGGAGAGCCAAAGTTATTCCACACCTGCTGTTGCCCATCACATGTGAAATCTACAAAGCTGGGCCCTATGCAAAGCAAATGTATCTCCAGTTTCTGTCAACCAGAAGATATTTTGCACTATTCCTGCAGTTTTCATGGGTCTGTTCTTACGAACATAGCTGAGCTTTTAGGGCTCTTCTATCTTTAGCTCTTGCAAAATTCGTGACAATGAATTCTACAAGCTAATTGTGCATGAAAAATGCTTCCTCTTAACATTAGGTCCAGTAACTGTTCACTTTATCCAGCATTTCCTTGTTCCTGTGTGTATTAAGGAAGTGTGAATAGCAACTCTGGTTTCTTTTCTCCACATTATTAATCATTTGGGCCAGATTCAACAAAACAGTTGAGCTAGTGGGAGCCAGTACAATGCATCCTGCCAGGGCAACTACCACCTCCCCCTGCACCCCCCGATTGACTAGCGGGGTGCCTTTAAGAACTCCCAAAATGGTATATATATGAAATAATTTTTTTGTCTGGGGTGAGAGATTTATCAAAAAGCATGTGGCATATTCCCCCCTCCATGTTTTGAATTTTTGTACCCCTTTTCTAAACATTGTGTTACTCCCAAGTATTTACATTTCATCTTCCCCAAGTAGCTTGTGATTATTCTCACATTTCTATTGTACTGCTAAATTTGAGCATTAAAGACACAGGGAGGAATTCAATGTCACACTCCTATTATTGTTCTATCGGCAGAAGCATCATGTCCCAGAGGGTCCCCCAACTCTGAGATCTCCGGGTATAGGGTGGTATACAAATTTAATTAATTAAACAACAACAACTCTTGGGAGCAGCTTTTTGGGTCTTTGTGGGCAGAGGGGATCAGCAAAAAAAGGGTGCTCCCATTTGTGCAAGTGGAAACACACTTCATTAAGACAGAGTCACCACTGAATTCCTCCTAAGAACATGATTGGTCCGAAACCAGAGACTTTTCTCCTGGGCATGGTCGGTCAATTGGTGTCAAGGAAAGATAGGACGTTTTTTATGTATGCTACCACAGCAGCAAGGGTTCTTTTAGCAAAGTATTGGAAGACACAAGAACTACCCACGCTGGAAGAATGGCAGACGAAGGTGATCGATTACATGGGACTGGCGGAGATGACTGGCAGAATCCGTGACCAAGGAAAAGAGACGGTGGAAGAAGATTGGAAGAAATTTAAAGTATATTTTAAGAACTGTTATAAAATTAATGAGTGCTAAAATGCCAAGGGTAATGAAAAAAACAGAATTACAGCTGTAAATGACTAAGTAAGAAAAGAAGGGAAAAAAGAAAATGAGTAATCAGTTAATTGAAGTGAGAGGTTGCTGAAGAAATCTTAAAACAGGGATGCAGAAAGGGGAGGCATGGGGAAGTCGGGGAAGTAAGATTTATGAAAAAGAGGTTTTGAAATTATACGTGTCTATATGTTTGTTTGTCTATGTATTGTGTATTGTATTGTCTTTATGTTGGAAAATCAATAAAAATTTATAATAAAAAAAAGAACATGATTGGTCCATTTGGTCTGTCTGTCTGGTGAAATGAACACTCCCAACTACTGCTTGGATGAGCTGCCTCTGGCCATCACTGTTGGCATCCAACTCCCATCATTCCTGAACATTGGCCATGAGGCTGATGGGAATTGGAGTCCAACAACATCATGAGCGTCACAGGTTCCCCATCCCCGTTTGACAGGATTTTAGTACCAAATATTTCCAGTGAACATCAACCAATACAAGATTAATGGTTTGGGATCCCCGGGTTCTTTTTCCTAGCACGATCTGGGTCTGGGAACGGTGAGCATCTTAACCCTTGAGGGGGCAAATTACTTCCCCCCGCTGCATTCCATAACATTTTCATTCCAAAGGACGCAGCAACCTTTCCTGTGACACTGTTGCATAGCAAAGCAGAACATAATAAATACGCCGTCTGCAGCCTTGCGTGCAGGTCTGATTTGTTTCCCACATGCCATCCCTCAGCCTCTGAGACGAGCTGCAAACAGGTCTGTTAAAAGCCGCAGCACTCTCAACCCTCTTGACAGCTACTATTCTTCACTGAGGCTGTGAACAATTGTGGAGCTGTCGGTGTCTGACTGAAATAATAGCTGTACATACAGGATCATTTGTAAGACAGATGGCTCAGGCAGGTACAATTTATCTGCCAACGGCACCTTCACCACTCCAAGCCCTTC